TTTCTAAACGGTTGCGAGGGCGGGGGGTGTACACCTGCCCAAACTCGCCCCATTGCCATCCCTATTCATTCCTCAAACAGTGCTAAAATGTGAAATGATTTCTTACTTGATGGCAGGTTCAGTTTCCAGCAATAATCCTTGGCCAGATGTAATGGATAATATTTTGTCCCTATTAGCCCCGGAAGCAATTGACTTGAAGAAGAAAGAGGTGTTTGAATCACCTTCTTTGAGCCACAGGACACTTGACTTTTGCTTGTAGATCTGTTCTTCATCAACACACAGTTTAGAGTACTTGGAGAGCAATTGCTTTTCTTGGCATCTTAGTCAGATGTCATCTGGATTAGTATCAAGGACAAGTTGGCAAAGGGAGAGTTGGTCTTTAGCAGCCTGTACATCAGCTTGGATTGCACTGATGTTGGAAGAGAATTTCTTTTTTAAGGGTTGCTTAAGAAATTTGGGCTTTGATGTAACTTAGAACATTGTGTACCCAGCCACCTGTTTACTCTAGTACTCTTCAATAGCTGTAGTTGATATTACTTTGTAAAATATTTTATTCTGTCAAATTAATGTTTTTTGAGAATTTTAAAATAATATGGGAATGTGAACATTAAAACGAAACTATTGTGATACTATTCTTTTTTTAAAAATAATGCACAAACTAATATTTATTGTTCCATATTTATATATCATAACAATATTAAGGAGATTTCTTATCTCTTGCTAGTGGGTGGTGAAATGATAGTCAAGAAAATTTCTGTAGAGAGATTGTTAGTGCAAGGGTATAGTAGGAAATTCGTTAAAATAGTTTTTTTTCTTTTCTTCCCTTCACTTCTTCCAAATAAGAATGATATCATTTCTTTTCTTTTCATTCTAATTTATCCCAACATGAATGTTATCCTTTTTTTTATTATTTTTTTAATTTTTTATAACTAATTTAGTTTCTTTTATTTTCTCTCATGTTTATCCAAACGAAGCCTTTGAGATATCATAATTGCAAAGGTAAAAACAACCGCAAATTATTTCACAAAGTAAATTATTTTAAAAAAAATTAAAATTTAAATAAAGTAAGTAATAAAAATTTACTTATTTATGCTTTCTTTGATGTTATCCAAACATTAAATCTTAATCGTTGGATATATAAAAAAAAAAAAAAGAAATAAACAAGAAGTAAGTAAACAATTCTGTGTGTGTATATATATATATATTTTAGGAATAATTAAAAAAAAAAGGATTTTTGGAAGGGAAAGGACAAAATCATGGAGTTTATAACTCTACTTTTTTTCCAAAAAAAGAAAAAAAAAAATGAACTTATAGAGGATAAATGCCAAAATCATGGAAATCTAGTGTTCATTGTATTTTGATTCCCAAACCGCCCTTTGAATATTTGCTGTCTCAACTCTCAAAAGAACTCTTGAACTCCTATTCTTATGACCGGCGGCCCTCTGCTCTCTTTCTCTTCCTCCTTCAAGCTCTCTGCAATACTCACACTGCCCTACCACTGCCAACCGCCGCACCGACTGGAGTAACCCAAATCCGCGTGCACCATCTCACCAAATGTCTCCAAACATCATTGAAATTTATGTCAACCTTGGATATATATCGATGTGTGTTCACAAGGGAAAAGTAAAGAAAGTCAAATGAGTGAACCAGGTTTCAAAAGTGTTGTCTCATATAGATGGCAAATGAGTGAACCGGGTTTTCCCTCTGAGACCGGGTCTCTTTTCGAAAAACTTAATTTTCCTATATATGTGATCCTCCGTCCCTTGGTCCTCGGAAGTGCTCTCACTCCTGTCACCGTCCTCCTCCTCCCGTCCATTTATTACCATAAAAATTACTGTTCTTGTTGCTTCTTTTAGAATCAAAGTTATCGATTGGAATGAACGGAAACTATGGCCGGGCTCCATCGATTCTGGCGTTTGGCCGGCAGTGATTTGCCGTGTGATCGATTTCCTGTGATTGATGAGTTTGTGAGAAACTTGGAAGAGAAGAAGGAAGGGTAAGGGAGAGATTAAAGAAGATGAGGGACAATTTGGTAATCAAGACAAATTCCATCTTTTTGAAAACATTGACTTTCACTCCATCTTTGACATTTGACCAACATACCTTATGTTTTTTGGAATAACCTCTTTAACCTAACAAATATTGTTCAACTCAACCAAACCGTTCGAAACATTGTTATCGATTGGAATGATCGGAAACTATGGGGCTCCATTGATTCTAGCGTTGGGAAGTGATTTGCCTGTGATCGAGTTTCTGTGATTGATGGGTTTGGTGAGAAACTTGGAAGACAAGGAAGGGTAAGCCAGAGATTAAAGAAGATGATGAGTGACAATTTGGTAATAAAATATTGACTTTGACTTCATGGTTTTAGTATTTGACCTAGGTAACCCTATTTTTTTTTTTTTTGGAATAACCCCTTTAACCTAAGAAACATTGTTCAACTCAACCAAACTAAGCCTAAGATTTCGTAACATTGTTCAACTCTTACGAGTCCAAAATTTTTGCCAAGCCGCGTGTTGGAAAATCATTCCAAACTATTTAGTGTATGTGTATCTGTAATACTATATACTACGTATTATAGAATTTCTTAATATATTATTTAATAAACTTTTACATTAATCTATATTTAACCATATATATAAACATTAATCTATCTTTCTATCTATCTATATCCCTATCCACACTCTACTTCACTCTTTCTCAAACTTCTCACCCATCAATACAAAAATGATCCAACTTGTTTGGATGAGTATTATTGATACACATCTTTCATCTCTGCACAAGTGATATATATATATTTTTGGCAAAAACCCATGATTAAAGTTAAAAATAAAAAACCATGATTAAGTTTAGTATTTTCAATTTTTCATCCTATTATATGAACAGTTAGTTTGTGAAAATGATGGGGAAGGCTGTGTGAAGTGCTTCATTGTTGGGTACTTGTAGTAGTTTATCTGTATATATTAATTTTAGTAATATTAAAATTTAATCTTTCATTGTTGGGTACTTGTAGTAGTTTATCTGTATATATTAATTTTAGTAATATTAAAATTTAATCTTGTTTTTGAGATAAAAAATGAATTGTTATATTATTTTCTAATATTTTACGTTTTAGTTACACAATTGTCTACTATTTTTTTTTTTTTTTTTTTTGATATTACTTTGTAACAAAATTTTTACTGGACACTAAATTTTGAGAAAATTGTGATAATAAAAATTACTAATCAGTTTTTCTTAATGCTACTCAAACTTCTAAAAAAATCATCTTCCTAAATTCCACTATTTTGTGCATTTCAAACATTAATTACTACCATTAATCTACACCAAAAATTACAACCATGTGTTATTTGCGCACAATTTAAGCAATCTGTCATAGTTAGTAAAATCCGTTGGGAAAATATGTGGTATTATATACATATAATATAATTTGTTTTCTCCATGTGAAAAAATGTTAAAAATTTTGTCATAAAAAATTAAAATGGAAAAATATATCTTTAAAAATGAAAATGGAAAAATATAAAGATATATGCCTTTTGATATTATATATATATATATGTTTAAAAATTAGTCATTAAAAATTTGACTCTAATTTCTTTCTCTTATTCCTTATATATTTTCATTTCAATAAATATTTTTTTATATTCATTTTAATATTATAAAAGACGAAATATGAAATGTTCTAAAGAGATGAGGATTCTGGAAAGAGATGGGGATTCTGGATATTGAAGAGTCAGTAGAATTTGGTATATTTAAGAAGATGATAAAAGAATATAGTGTTTGTGAATATGCATATATTTATTCTTTATTAAGAGAAGAATGTGTCTATATATAATCAAGAGTCACTTTCATAACAATGTGAGCAATTCTTTTGTGAGCGAGCCAAACAAATTAAACGCCAAGTACAATGTATATTAATATTATATTTTGTCAAAAATTTCAAAAATTATTTTAGTTTTTTCTTAAAGCTATCCTATATAAATTTTGTTCCAAATTTTCTCAAAAATTTCAAAAATTAAAAATTATTTATTTTAGTTTTTTCTTAAAGCTATCCAATATAAATTTTGTTCCAAATTTTGCTATTTTTTCTAACCAATACTAGCTAATAAAAGGTTAAAAGATACAAAAGTTTAACGCTAATAAAAGGTTAAAAGATACAAAAGTTTAACTCTCATATACAAAAATACACAAAATTGCTAGGCTCCAGCGGATTTATTGGTATGTATTAGACTGTATTTTTGTTACTTATTTTGAGTGTAACCCGATCTATGTGTTTAAAAAATGTTAAAAAATTTGTTATAAAAAATGAAAATGGAAAAATATAAAGGTATATGTCTTTTGATACACTATATATATATATATATATATTGTTTAAAAATTCGTCATTAAAAATTTGACTCCACATGTACTAATTTCTCTCTTATTCCTTATATATTTTCATTTCAAAAGATATTTTTTTTATATTCAGTTTATAAAAGACAAAATATGGAATGTTGTAAAGAATTCCTTATATATTTTCATTTCAATATATATATATATATTGAAATGAAAGACAAAATATGGAATGCTGTAAAGAGATGAGGATTCTGTATACGGGAAGAGGAGGACTCTAGATATTGAAGAGTCAATAGAATTTGGTATATTTAAGATGGTAAAAGAATGTAGAGTTTATAAATATACCTATATTTATTCTTTATTAAGAGAAGAATGTGTCTATATGTAATTAAGTACCAGGTTAAAAGAAGTAATGAAAGGACTGATCAAGTCCCTCTGTTCAGTCACTTCAGTGTACAACTATATCGGAACACAAAATTGTGTATGAACAAAACAAATGATTTAAGCATATGTATATTATTATTTTCTATTACGTTTTCTTATTTTTATGATATTATTCAATTAACTCACTTTTATAATCTATATTTATCTATCTGTTCACATTTCGCATACATTTATATATACACACTACTATTAAATTCACTTATCAAATCATCTTCAAAAAGATAAATATATATATATTTTTGGTTATCCTAATGAATTTCCCCATCATCATAAAATTTATGATTAAATAAAGATGGGCAGCTTAGAAATTTTAATTTCAATGGAGTCCCAGGTTTTAGGACAAAGTATGGAATGATTTATCATTGCTCTCATTATGTCCATATAAATTTGAAAGAACACATCCATTGATTTTCAATCAATCTTGATTTTCACCAGGTACCGATACAAGCCTGTCACTTTGCGTATTCCTTTTATGCCCAAACCACTCAGCCATCTCTTCATCATCTGTTGATTCAAGGAACTCAGCACTCTGGGTGATGGCAGACTTGAATTCATGGGCATTTACTCTTGCCCTTGCAGCTTTTCCGCTCCTCTCTGCCATCTCCATCTTCCAGCTTTCTTGCTTCTGCATGTTCCGGGACAAATCGCTCTTACCTCCTATAATGGGGAAATCTACAGGTCCCGGAATCTCATTCCACGAGTTTGAGCCATCATTTTCTTCACTCTCATCCTCCACAAATCTCCACATATCAACTCCTCTGTTTCCACTTTGTCTTCCTTGTCTAAAAGAAGGTTGAGTATAGTTATAGCTCCCGCTACTGTGACTAGGTTGAGTAGAATCATCCGCATGATTTGATGCTTTTGGCCGTCTATGATCACATTTCAAGCATACCATGTTTTTTCTGAAATTGATATAGTTGCACCTACACCACAACACATATCTAACTGTGTAAGACACAGTAAAATTGCAGTTAACTATTTCTAATGGAAGAATTGTCATAGATGTTGCTTCAATGTTTAGAAGTAGAAAACTCACGATTCACATTCCCATTCCCCGGGATTTAGTTGCCGCTTTGTTGGCTTCTCTTTACATTGCAAACATCTTGTATTCTTTGCAAAGTTCAAGAAATTGCATCTGTAGAAGTTGTAAGCATTGGTGAGAAATGAAAAACACTAATCTGAATAAGTATTACTTGTTACATATTTTACATATTATTATACTTATCAGAAAAAAGAGTATTACATGGCACATATCCAATCTCCTTTCTTCAACGGAAGATGCTCCTGATCCTCCCCTAATTTTTTTAGCCTTTCTTGAAATAGCCCATCACAGCGCAAGCACTTAATGTTTCTGGCAAAATTTAGGAAATTGCACCTACAAAAGCAAATTCAAACAGAGAAGTACTAAGAAAATCTATGAGAAGAGTGATACAATAATAAGTGAGATACTTTGAACAAGATACAAATGCAATGGACGTACTTGGGGCATATCCAGTCACCTTGCTTCATTGGAATATTGGTTTGACCTTGTCTTTCGTGAGTTGAATCTTCTTGCACAGATGAATTCCACGTGGAGGGGGTTGCTTTGGGGGGATTGGAGTCGACTCCCTTCATGCTAAACTCCACCATTTCTTTCAGCAACCTTCTCACTGATTCCTTAACCCTTTTATTCAGCAATGGTTTGTTCTCCACTGAGCCAGTGACGGGATCAAGTCCATATGTCAACAAGAAGCGCATGACATCCACAGTCCGCCCGCCTTCATCCTCACGTGCCTTTACGAATGCCCTCTCACAGTTTCCTCTCAGAATGCAGGAGCTGCATACCTACTAAAATTTCTCTCCTTATTAGATATTATGAATGGTGATGCTCCTAACTTAGCAAGAACACTTTTGACATAAATAGATAGGTTGGAGAGGTCCAAAAAACAACTGAAATTCACACGTACATTTCCTTCATCAATGCCCACGTGCGCCCTTAGACGCTTTCCTGAGTTGACAACTTTCCTATCTACGCTTGGACATCCAGATCCTGCAACCACCTGGACATCTTTTCTTGAGAAATACCTGGCAGCAAAGCCATAACATGAATACTAAGCGGCAAAACACTATCTCATTCATCCAAATAATAAGGAATAAACAGCCTCACGATGTTGGTTGCCCATTATGAAGAATTTCAAGGCATCTGTTTTTCTGTTTTTGATATAAATTATCAAACAGCTGTTAGCCTATGTGACATAACCAAATGTTCAAGTCACCATGTTCGGAAATATGCCCTACATGGTTGGTAAGAAGCTTACAGATTTAGGATAGCCCATGGTCTGATAGTCAGAGTACGTAGAATGACCCGAACAAGACCTGGACTCTTATAGAGATTTAAAATCTAAACAAACTTTAAAATTTCATTTAGCTACGAAGTATGTAAAAAATTAAAAATCATTCATGATGCAGAATATAAAGCAGAAATATAAAGGCATCCACACATTAACACATGATTTTTCATGGAACCCATTGGGAAAAATCAATGGGGTACTTTGGTCTCCACAAATAGTAATCCGTTCAACTCGTTTGTGCGGGAATTGCTTGCGATATTGAAATCCATGTAGGTCTAGGATTTGTTCAACACTCAACATATATATACATGAATGATGAATGAAAAAAAAAACAAAAACAAAAAAATATAGAAATTCCTTCCAGTAGGTTTCACTTGATCAAAAAATAAGTTTGGTCGATCAAACCTAATACAGTGGACTTCAATGGCTCCTTCAATCAATCGAACTCATTGTCCTTATTCCTTTAGGAATTTCTAAACAAATACATTCTGAAACAGTTTTACACATTCAAAAATACTATTTTGAAAATCAAGACATGTGATTGAAAACCCTGACAGGTTTAATGATATGAATGAATGCACATGAACCCTCATTTTGGTGAGTGAGTATTAAAGAACTTTACCTTTTTGCCCTAGATTGAAACTTCGATTTCCCATTTTTACCCTTGGACAAGAGGTAACTCAACTAACTATTCTGTCTAACTTTAGAAGCAATAACCAAAGGCTAAACTAAAGCATATAGACTCAAGTTTTGAATGAAATTTGCCAGCATAAGTCCTATTGACCTAACAAAGCTTTACCCTGCCCCTAAAATTTTATTACGTAAAGGAAAATACCAGAAATTTAATTGATACAACGCTTAAATGCATCTCTAGCCATTTTTGGCCTGAGAGCATCAATTTAGTTGATGTCCAACAAAAATGCATTTACCTAAAACATTCATTGCAACTAATCCAGAAAATTGGTGGAAAGGTCTAGCATAAGGCTTTTTAGTTAAGAGGTCAAATCAAGGAGCACATTCCCCTAGCAACTCATTATTATATTAGGTATTTTCCTATTTCTTTTTTCTAGACACTGGAACAGTGGCATGCAGTACCAGTCCCAAACCTACCAAACTCCATAGCACCTAGATGTAAAGCTAAGGCTTGAGGGTGTACAAAATATTAGAAAATATTTAGGAGTTATAGTAGTGTTTGGGAAGAAAATTTTTTGGCTAGCCAGACTGTTAGAATCATAACTGTTGAAAGTAGGGATGTAAATGAACCAAACGTTCGACAAATAGCTTGAGCTCGGCTTGCTAAGAGCTCGGTTCGTGTTCGTTTGTTTAATAAACGAACCAAACTCAAACAGAATTTTTAAGCTCGATTAATAAACAAATCAAACTCAAACAACCCCCTGCTCGGCTCATTTGTTTATGAACACGTTTGTGAACCAGACTTGTCAAACAGCTTGTTTAAGCTTGCCAATATATATGTGTGTGTGTGTGTGTGTGTGTGTGGAGAGAGACATATGGATTTAGAAGGCTTTAGAATCCATAAAATAGTCCAAGCTCAATCCAATTCACAACCCAACTTAACTAATATTATTTCATTCTTATATCTTAAAAGAGTCCAGTCCACTATAAGAGCCCAGTCCAGTCTCAGTAAACCCTTATTAATCTTTTTACTAATTTCCTCATTCCTTACACAAGCCCCTTTTTTTTTTCTCATCCGTTACCGAAACCCTAGCCGACATAGCAGAACAAAAAGAAAAGGATGATCGACATAAGGAGGACTCAAAGAAATGGATGATCCAGTAACATCACGATCACAAATGATTGTCGGTGATCCAACCGTCATGATTGCAGATCAAATTCCTTCACAACTGCAACTTCCTACGCCTGATTTTCTCTCTCTCTCGATCTCATCTATATTCTTTTTATACACGTACCTGATTTTTGAAATCTGAAGTTTGTAATTCCTAAACATTTATCTGGTGTATAAATTGTTCATAGATTGAGTTCTCCAGGTAAATGTGTATATATATATATATACACAAAAAGTCGGATATACATCACACAAGCGAGCTTAGTCAAGCCGATCTTGAGCTCATTCAAACACCTTCGAGCCGATCTCAAACTTGGCTGCTGAAAGCTTGATCAAACTCGAGCCAAGCTTGAGCACTCCAAAGCTCGTCTCAGCTCATTTACAGCCCTAGTTGAAATATATAAAAATTGAAGAGAGAAACCAAACATGAAGAACATAGGATATAACGTCATCCACAACATATAAAGCCCAAAGGGTACATCAATCTTATTACACTCTCTTAATTTTGGTATACATGATCACCTCTATTTATAGGTGAAAGAATAGAGACGTGATAAATATGATATAGGAAACATTCCTAAAATCACTCCCATGATTGACTCATATCAATATGTCAAAGGAGTGGTTTAAGGATTTTAATCATTCCTATAATAATATTCTCCAACAACCCCCTTCAAGTTGGTACATGAAGATTTTTACTCACTCCAACTTAAAACTAAAGACAAAGTTGTCAAGAGTCCGAGACGAGTAGATCCAAGACGAGTTGATCCGAAGATCCGAGATGAATTGATCCAAAGATTGGAAACGAGTAAATCCTGAGACCTTACAAGTTGATTCGGACATCCGAGACTAGTTGATTCAAAGATCCAAGACGAATTGATCTGAAGATCCAAGACAAGTAGGGTATGGAGTAGAGTATGGTAAACCTTCCCTGATACCATGTTGAAAGATTAAAAAAATTGAAGAGAGAAATCAAACATGAAGAACACAAGGATATACGTCATCCCTAACATACAAAGGGCTACATCTATTTCAGTACATTCTCACTTAATTTTTGTATACGTGATCACCTCCATTTATAGGTGAAAGAATACAGACATGTGGTAAATATGATATAGGAAACATTCCTAAAATCACTCTCATGATTGACTCATATCAATATGCCAAAGGAGTGAATTAAGGGAATCATTCTTATAATAATATTCTTGAACAATAACCAATCCTCTGTCCAGGTTTTTGCCAAAATAGTTGAATGTACACACATATGTGCACTCAAATCAACTTTTTTATTCTATTTCAAGTATGGGCTGAGCAGTTCATTGAGCTGACAAGGTGAAATGGCATTGGCTACTTCTGTTTCAACCAGTATTTCAATATCGAATACACTACTTCCTGAAAATCAGTAATATTTCGTGAAATCATAGAACTGTCAAGAAAGAAAGGAACAGCTACTACTCTTTAGAAAAAGGTCTACATTATAGTGATAATCTTTAACAAAAAGAGGCCCTATTCTCCTACATTCCACAAAAGACCCTGTATTGTTCTAAAACACTGAAAAAATGAAACTTTAGGTTTTCCTATGTCTAAACTGTTGGAAGAAAAAGGAGAGCAATAGATACATGAAGTAGTGTACGCCATTTAGTGATTATAAACTGTGCCTTAGTACATGGGATCTTTTAGCATATTATTGCACCAAACTCATTCATGTATATTTTATTATAAGTAATTGCACAAAACTATTGCAAATAAAATAAATTTTGTCTATCAGTGCTCCTCTTTAATTTTTAAAATACTCTCCATTTGATTGGACTGAAAAGATATTAGAGAAGTCATGAAAATTGGAGTAATACAACAGATTAGGATTAAACAGCAAGATATAAGCTTTGAACGTTATATATACTGGGTTTCACGATATCAGTGTCAGAAGCTAAAAAAGTTCTATTAGATACTCCTTTCTCTTGGTTCTCATATTCTTTGTTCTATTACTTAGTTTTTGTTTTAAGATGAAGCTCAAAAGTACAATTGTTATATTCTTGTTATGGATTTGGAACAAGTTTGCTCAAGGCTTGCTGCATTTTTTAAACTTTTTGTTTTGTTTTATTTTTTATTCACTTTCTTTTTGCCTCTAACTCCATATTATTTTATTAAGGTTCCATTTGTTCAACATAAAATATTTTTCATAGCACAAATAATAATAATAATAAAAATATCAAATCTTGTACATGTAAAAGGTTCTTCAAAAAACATTTTTGCGTGTTTGGCTTGAATCCTGAAAATACTTTTTTTGTAAAATAAAAATAAAAATCCTTTCTAGAAATTCAGTTTTTAAAAAAGGACGTACACATTAAGCATGAAACCCAAAATATTTTCTTTTCTTTACGTTAGGTTTCTCACCAAACTAACACGATATATGCATACACATTTAGACTTTAGAAAGAGAAAGTGATAACCCTCAAATGAAGTGGAGCTATGCGTTCTTTGTTACTAGCAGTTTTCTTTGATAGTGCTGGTAAAAATGGATCAGATTAGATTTGTCTCGGGGTTTTAATCATCGATTGGGTTTGGGTTTATGTGTGGTGAAGAGACAGGTAGAATTAGTTTGATAAAGGGTGTCAATTTGAGGGGTAGTAAAAGATTTGTTCTGGAGATTGGTAATTGAGATTTGTGGTGGAAAGTATAATTAGATTTGGAGATAAGGGGAGAAAAAAGAGATTGCAACTTAGATTTGTTTGTTTCGCACGAAAATTGTTAGGGATTCAAATGGGAAAATTGACTGCAGTTTTCCTTTGTGCACTCCGCCAAGCGATGGAAGATTCCTATGTGTGTGTAATAAAAAAAAATGTATATGTAGAGAGAGAGAGTTCTTTGACTATACTGAAGCTGGTGATGCATATATAGAGAGAGAAAATGGAGGTTTAAACATGCTTCAATTGTGGGGAAAGGGACGAACAGAGGAAGAGAGATATTGCTGTTCTAGTTAGCGTCAAGGTAAGTCGACACGAGAAAGGTCAACCAAGAAGACTGTAAAATGACTTGAGGATTTTTTTATCAATAAGTCACTCTGCAATATAGGATGTAAAATATTTTACCAGTGAAATGATTTACTCAGTTTTATGTACAGCCAAACACCAGAAAATGCAAAAAAAAATATGTTTTCAGAAAATGTTTTACATCAAAGCAAATGGAAAAGGTGTTTTCACTTTTTAAGCCAGGAGTATGCACACACTGCTGATATGTAAGGGTGTATAAAAATCTGAGCAAAAGTTAAAAACGAATAGTAATTACAGTTTCCTACTTGTAATATCATGATCAAGTGAGTGTACACTGTGATGCTACTTAAGGGTGTAACAAAATCTGAGCAAAAGCTAAAAAAAAAATAGTAATTATAGTTTCCTACTTGTAGCATCAAGTAAAAGCAATATAAAATGCAATGTAAGTTGTAACTCATTTACATTTAAGAATACAATTCATCAAATATATTTAAAAATTAACATGTATAGCATATCCAAATTTTTTAAAGAGCTTTCTAGGTTGAAACAATCCCAATCAGGCACGGACCCAGAGGGGGGTGGATGCCCCCACTGGAATTTTTCTTAATTACATTATCACATATAGTTTTAGTTAAAATTTCAAAAATGCCCCCACTCAATTTTTTAAAATGGCCCCCTTCAAATTTTCACCTCACTTATTTCTCCACTGGATTTTTTCTAATTTATATTATTAACTAAAATTTTAGTTAAAATTTCAAAAATGCCCCCACTCAATTTTTTTAAAATGCCCCACTTCAAAAAAAAAAATAAAAAATTTGTCTACAGTTATTTTTTATTCTTTGACGGCGCCCACCCTCAAAAAAATTCCTGGGTCCGTCACTAGTCCTAATGTCAGCTCTCAATATGTCCAAAAGTTACCAACATGTCTTTAGCTGATATGGCAGCCTATAAGACTATAAAATGAATGCAAGAAGAGCCCTTCAACAAAATTCACTAAAGAGAAACAGCTGCTAAGAATCACACAATCTAGTCAAATTACAAGATATATTTGCATCATTAAAACAAATAGAAATTACTCACAATCAATACAACATATAGTAACTCATGTACATTTATAAATATAAAGATCCTACTTCAATTAACAGCATATAATAAGGCCTACCTACATATTGTAACATGAAAGACCAATATTAAAGTCATATAGATTATTATTCATCTATTATTCTATATTTAGAAATAAAGATTTCTTAAAAACAAAAAGTTAAAAGCACATAGTGAGACCGTTACCTAGGTTGGCCTCGTCGAAATGAAGGGGCAAAAATTGGGTTAATTGCCAAATTATTGCGCTGCTGTTACCAAATGCCTAATATCTGCCAACTTGACCTCAAACAATATACAACCCGAAACTAGTGATAACCTCTCATGAAGTGGAGCTATGCTTTCTTCGTTAGTAGCAGTTTTCTTTGACAGTGCTGGTAAAAATGGATCAGATTGGATTTGTCTCGGGGTTTGAATCATGGATTGGGTTTTGGTTTATGTGTGGTGAAGAGACAGGGAGAATTAGTTTGATAGAGGGTGTCAATTTGAAAGGTAGTAAAAGAATTGTTCTGGAGATTGATGATTGAGATTTGTGGTGGAAAGTATAATTAGTTTCGCGCGAAAATTGTTAGGGATTCAAATGGGAAAATTGACAGCAGTTTTCCTTTGTGCACTCTGTTAAGCGATGGAAGATTCCTATGTATGTGTAGTAAAAAACGTATAAGTAGAGAGAAAAAATCAGTATTTTTTGAAGTATATGGAGAGAGGAGGGAGAAACAACTCCATTTTGATGATACATACATACATACATACATATATATCTATATATATATATATATATATATATATATATATAGAGAGAGAGAGAGAGAGAGAGAGAGAGGAAGGGTTGTTTGATTATAATAAAGCTGGTGATGTATATATATAGAGAGATAAAATAATGGTTTAAAACATGCTTCAATTGTGGGGAAAGGGACGAACAGAGGAAGAGAGATATTGCTGTTTTAGTTAGCATTAAGATAAGTCAACACAAGAAAGGTCGACCAAGAAGACTGTAAAATGACTAGCGGATTTTTTTATCAATAAGTCATTTTTTTTTTTTTTTTTTTTCCCCTGATAAGTCATTTTGCAATAAAGGATGTAAAATATTTTACCAGTGAAATGATTTACTCAGTTTTATGTTCAACCAAACACCAGAAAATGCAAAAAATGTTTTACATCAAAGCAAACGGAAAAAGTGTTTCAGTTTCTAAGCCATGAGTATGTAGACAGTGCTGATACTTCAGGGTGTATACAAATCTGACAAAAGTTTAAAACGAATAGTAATTATAGTTTCCTACTTGTAACATCAAGTAAGTGTACACTCTGCTGATACTTAAGGGTGTATAAAAATCTGAGCAAAAGTTTAAAACGAATACTAATTATAGTTTCCTACTCATAACATCAAGCAATATAAAATGCAACATAAATTGTAGCTCATTGACATTTAAGAATACAATTTGTCAAAGATATTTAAAAATTAACAGCATGTATAGCATATCCGAAATTTTTTAAGAGCTTTCTAGCCTGAAACATAAACTATAGTCTCATTGTCAGCTCTCAATATGTCCAAAAGTTAATAACATGCGTTTAGCGGATATGCCAGCCTACATGGCTATTTATTGAATGCAAGAAGAGTCTTCAACAAAATTCACTAAAGAGAAACAGCTGCTAAGAATCACACAAAATCTAGTCAAATTACGAGATATATTTGCATCATCAAAACAAATAGAAATTACTCACAGTCAATACTGATTGTAACTCATGTACATTTATAAATAAAGATCCTACTTTAATGAACAGCATATAATAAGGCCTACCTGCATATTGTAACATGAAAGACCAATATTAAAGGCATATGGATTGTTATCAATCTATTATTCTATATTTATAAATAAAGATTCTTAAAAATAAAAAGTTAAAAGCACATACTGAGACTGTTACCTAGGTTGGCCTCTTCGAAATGAAGGGGTGAAAATTGGGTTATTTGCCAAATTATTGAGCTGCTGTTACCAAATGCCTAATATCTGTCAGCTTGACCTCAAACGATATACAACCCAAAACTAGTATACAATTCAATCAAGCAGCGTTTTCAACGGAACCCACACAAGAAATGTTTGCTTGGATCACAATTCTAAGCTAGTGATCTGAAGTGGTTGTGCCATTGCAACATTTAAAAAATAAGTTACTTTATGGTGACCTCAATGACATGAAGTACCAAAGTTTAACAAAATAAATTATGCCTCTCACTTGATTCCATTATCAAACAGGTTGTACGCATACTCAAAACCCCAACACCATATCATTTCATACTTAAAATCAAAGCTCAAACTAATACCTATTTCTCAATTCCAACCAGCCAAAACAAAGAAAGCCAAATCACAGACAGCAAATGCATATAAGATACATCAAAACAATCATAGTTATCACTCGTTACCTTATAAGATCAAATTTATCACGCGCGAAATTGAGGCAAGCGGTCCTAATTTGGTTTGAATCCTTCGAAGCCATTTCACCATTTCGAAATGGATTTCCAGTTTCATCGAAATAGCCATCTTTCAACAATCTTTCCATCAAGTCGACCCATTCCGGCCATGGATGCGAAATTTGAATTCTAGCTGACTCTGGCAATCCCCTTCTTCCATCTGTTGGTCCATTGTTTTCAACTGCCCCCTCGAATTTTTCTTCTTGCGGCTTTGAGGATTGTAGCTCTTCAAACCCATCCAAGACGAACCCTAGCTTCGAATTGGGAACTAGGGTTTTGCAGGTGCTGTGAATATGAGAAATGCGTACGAGAAATTTAGGGTTTCTAAATTGGAATTTGAGGGCTTGAAGGTGATGTCCATGGTTTGCTAGTAACAGCTTCAACATTCCACAACACAATTACTTTTTTTTGGCGGGAAATCAGCAAACTTTCCTTCAATTAGGAATTTGGACAGTTCGGAAACAAGAGCCGCAGATATCCGGACTTGAGATAAATCAGTGAATAAAATTTAGGGCTGGCTTGGAATTCTCATAAAACAATTTTATATTCTCGAATGTTTTGAAAAATACAAAATAATTTAAAATATCAGTTTGTTTGACATATTTAATTTTGGGTTTTCAGGGTTTTTTTAATCCGTTTTTCGAGAATTAAATCAAAGAAGTTTTTATTTTTCAATGTCAACCAAACATGAACTAGAAGCTTGTAATGCCTATTCAAAGCTCTCTTATTTCGAATAATCATGTGAATCTTATATAAATGTGAGTTGATAATGTCGAAAGTAAACAAAAATATAAATTTTTTCTTATTTTTTTCTTTTTTTATCCTCTCCCACTCAATTCATCAATTAAATTAGAAATTGTAATAATTAGGGGTGCACAAACCATTAACAATCATAACCGGTACTTCAATTCCAATTTTAAAATTTTGAAACCATTGAAAATGGTTTTGGTTCCGGCAAGAACTGAACTAATTATTGAATAGTGTCAGGTTTGTTTTTTTTTTTTTTTTTTTTTTTTTTTCCTTTTTCTTTTTCATTTTCTTTTCCCCTTAAATTGAAGTATATAAATGTTGGATGCTTAAAAAAAAAGGGACAAAGTCTTATAAGAAAACCATAAATTATGACTATAGTTTTACTTGAGACAGAATATCAATACTTGCACATTGCTCTTCTTCAATAAACTTAGGTATAAGTAAACTCTGTCATAGCACTTTTTTTTTTTTTTTTTTTTTTTTGTCTTTGTCTTTTTCTTTTTCTTTTTCTTTTATTTCATTTTTGTCCTTACAAAAACTTCAAAAAATATTTTAAAAAAAATTTGAATACTTTACATTTCACTTTGAAAGAAAATAAGATATAACTCTGACATAACTACATGCCTTGATTAGATAGTATTTATTTTAATTTAGATTCATGTGAAATTACTTTTTCTAAAGTGATTGCTTTTACATTCCAATTAAAGAGTACTTTGTTTTATAATTTGAATTCTTTCCAAAATTGATGACTTTATCATTTTTTACGCAATCCACAGTACAAAATCTCTCATTAAAACAAAAAAACAAAAAAAATGAATACGACAAACCAAGATTTGTATGGTCAAATTCTTTTTTTTCTACAGAGTACACGGAAAAGGAAATAAAGAGGATTTGTGATACTTTCTATATAGGGGGGAACAAAACAGACCAAAAGTCAAGTTCAAATCGATTAAAATGAAGAAAGATAAGATATATATATATTTGACTATGACACAATATATATATATGTATGTATGTGTATATATATATATATATGTATGTATGTATATATTCTGCTCCAATTTACACTTAGCTTTCCTAAGAGCATCATTAACTGCAGAATTTCCACTTTAAGTGATACCCATTGTATGTGGAAAAAATTGAATCTGATTCGAAAGGGGTGATAGTTTTTCCAGTAGAAAGCAATAGGTATGCTTGGACAGGCTTAATTTAGAAGAATATACATATCTATCTATCTATATATATAGATGGAAATATATATATATGCCAGGTATAGAAAAATCTTCGCAAGTGTTATCTTTCCACAAGGTTAGACACCTATTCTGCAAATTGGTTTGTGACAACATTGTCATCAACAACTACTGCCTATGGCAAAATGAGCTCCACCACTCACAGTCCTAAAGAAAACAAATGGCCAGCATCAAACTGAAGAAAACAAGAAAAACTATATATATATATATATATAGTTTTTCTTGTTTTCTTCAGTTTGATGCTGGCCATTTGTTTTCTTTAGGACTGTGAGTGGTGGAGCTCATTTTGCCATAGGCAGTAGTTGTTGATGACAATGTTGTCACAAACCAATTTGCAGAATAGGTGTCTAACCTTGTGGAATAGCAACACTTTCATATGTGGCCAAAAATCGTTTTTTTTAAATTTTTTTTTTTATCTTTGTGCTCCAACTGACTACAACTAGTACAAATAGTTTATGCGCATAAAGTTAGTAAGGGAGAAAACAATCACACAAGATAACATGATTCACGAGGTTTGGCAAAATCTTTTGATGGAGTGTATCAAAAAATTTTAATAATAATATGTGTTTATAACGGAGAACTCTCTCTGCTCTCTAGTTATCTCGCACCACACACTCATACTAGGATTGAACAAGACTTATTATAAATAGGGGATCACTTTTAGGTTAAGAAAACTGAAAATCTCCCCGAACCTACAATCAATGAAAAAACTCATAAAATTTCAATCGAAACTTACACCAATCTCTGTGATCGATATTTGCTTCGATCGATCAGACTTCGATCATAGCCAACACTGCTCATTGTGATCAATCCCATTTGGACCTCCGATTGGGGTTCGTGAATCGGCAACATAAACCAGGCTTGTGATCCAGACTCCACAACCTTAACAAATTTCGGGTTAAACCTACCTATCTTATTGAGACTCTACTTAGCCCTCCGGTGGTGAATGTTGAAAAAATTGGAGTTATGCATACATGATCTTGTTAGAAAAAAGTATGGTGTAATTGTCAAAATCGTTACATAAAATAGGCGTCCGATACTAACTGTGATTAGTAGATATTTGGACTTGTCCTTGTTGGAATGTGGATGCTGATGCTATGAAAAATGAGTGTAGAGTCGAGCTAGCAGATATCACTCGTATCCTCAGAAGATACGTATATATGGTAACAGTCCGGGTAGCAAAATAACCCACTAAAGTGTAAATTGATTGAAAAGGAAAAAAGATCACCTAAACTTGACTATGGTCAGTTAATAGAATACATGATGTTCCAATTTACACTTTTTATTTTTATTTTTATTTTTTATTTTTATATTGATTTTGGCCATTTCCAAAAGGACTATGAGTGGAGTCCATTTTTGCCATTGACACTAGTAGATGAATAATGATGATGATGACAATCTCTGCACAGTCAAATTTGCAAAATAAAGGTGAATAATCTGACAAGACTTTAATATACAGGACTTTCATATATATATATATATATATATGGCAAAAACAGGACTTGGATAGTGTTCCCCACAACAATGGCACCACTTGTGTGTGTGCGTGCGTGCGTGTTAGCAGAAGGACCATGCTTATTCAACACTACAAGTTCACAACTTGTGCACAAAAGTTTTGGTGGATAAAATTGGTTCTTCGTCTCCTTCAAATTTCAAAATAGATCGGAAAAGCTTACAAGATTTTCATTATGAAAAAAGAATACACGACATGCCTAAAAATGGATGTTTTAACAAAGCTACATGTTAAATATAAAAGAGATAACTTTGTATATTATATTGATGTGAAATAAGATGTATACAAGAGGGGTTTATATAGGAAGGGTTATGTGTGATCAACCAGTAAACCATATATGTATATGGTAACTATACATATGATAATCCTATACAAGGTAAACCTATATTATACAATATAATAATAATATATTCTAACAGTTTCTTTCCAGCTTGAGTTTGGAAATGAAATCTTGAAAGCGGCATGACGGAAGCAACTTGGTAAAGACATCAGCGATCTGATCATGTGAAGTGATGGACCACAAATGTAAGGTCTTCTGAAGAAGATGATGACGAACAAAATGACAATCAATCTCAATATGTTTAGTGTGCTCGTGAAAAACATCATTATGTGCAATATGGATTGCACTCCTATTAGCACAATAAATAGGAATGGCAGTGGATGAAGAAACTCCCATGTCTTGAAGGAGCCAACGCAACCACAGAAGCTCAGAAGTAGTATCGGCAAATGCCCTGTATTCAGCTTCTGTGCTAGATCATGCAACCACAGTCTGTTTCTTGCTGCGCCAAGAGATAAGTGAATCACCAAGAAAGAAACAATAGCCTGTGGAGGAACGACGATCTATAGGATCTCCTGCCCAATCTGCATCGGAATAGGCACGAAGAATAAGCGATGATTGGGAAGAAAAATGTAGTCCATGAAACATAGTGCCTTTGAGATAACGAAGGATGCGATGAACAGCAACAAAATGAGTGGACCGAAGGGCAGTCATGAACTGACTAATGATGTGGAGGCCATGAGAGACGTCGGGATGAATGACAGTGAGATAAACCAAACTACCTACCAATTGGCGATACAAAGTACCATCTCGAAGAGATTCTCGATCATATAGATTAAGCCTTGTATTGCACTTAAGAGGGGTATCAACACTCTTGCTGTCAGTAAGACCTGATATCGAGAGAAGATTAGATATGTATTTCGCCTGAGAAAGATAATAACCATCTGTAGATGTAGTTATCTCAAGACCAAGAAAATAACTGAGAGGTCCAAGATCCTTCATCTTGAACTGACAATTGAGAAACTGTTTGAGCTCCTGAATTCCCACCAAATCATCGCCAGTAATGATCATATCATCAACATAAAGTAAAAGGAGAATAATACCTCGTTTGGTGTGTCGAACAAATAAGGCAGAGTCATATGCACTAGCAGAGTAACTAAGGCGAGAGATAGTCTGACTAAATTTGGCAAACCAAGCTCTCGGTGCCTATTTAAGACCATGCAAGGCACGTCTAAGTCTGCACACCTTATTAGAATGATGAGGAAAACCTGGAGGAGGCTGCATGTATACTTCCTTGAGTAAATCACCATTAAGAAAAGCATTCTTAACATCAATTTGAAAAAGTCCCTAATGACTAGAAGCAGCCACGGCAATAAGAGTTCGAACATAGGAAAAAAGTGTAACAAGAGCAAATGTCTTCTCAAAATCAATGTCATATTCCTGTGTGAATGCTCTAGCAACAAATTGAGCTTTGTAGCACTCAACAGACCCATCTGAACAAATCTTGATCTTGTAAACCCATTTGCATCCTACAGCAAACTTTCCAAGAGGCAGATCAACCAGATCCCACGTATGAGTTTTGGATAGTGCATCTAACTCTTCTTGCATTGCATGCTTCCATATGGGGTCAGAAGATGCCTCACGAAAAGTTTGAGGTTCATGTAAGGTAGAAAGAGCATGATAACAATGAAAATCACTAAGATGTGCTGGTGGATTTCTTACCCGAATGGAATGAGGGCGAAAATGTTGGGTAAGCGCACTGTCAGGAACCTCGGATAGAGCAGATGAGTGGGACTCAGCTAGTAGAGGGTGGACTATATCAGATGATTCTAGAGAATTAGGAAAGAGATCTGCAGAGGTGACAAATGGGGGAAGAGGAAAAGCCTGATTATGAACACCACTAAACTTAGATAATGTATGAAACAGTTTATGTTCTCAGAAAATGACATGAAGAGAAATTCTGAGGCGTTTATCAACAGGATCATAACATCTATACCCCTTTTGTTCAATTCCATAACCAAGAAAACAACAAAGTCGAGAACGTGGTTGTAACTTATTTCACTCATGAGTTTGAAGAAGAACAAAACAGGCACAACCAAAGACTCTAAGATGACTATAGTCGGGAAATTTTCCATAAAGATGTTCATAGGAACACGATTCATGGTATAAACAGCAGTAAGAGATGCTTCACCCCAAAAAGATGAAGGCATAGAAGCAGAAAGAGTGAGAGAACGAGTTAAATCAAAAATATGTTGAAGTTTACGTTCAGCTCGACCATTCTGTTGAGATGTGCCAGTACAAGAAGTGTGAAAAAATGTACCGTAATGTTGAAGAATGTGTTGAAATTCATGTCGTCGGTACTCTTGAGCATTATCAGACCGAAACATTTTGATTGGTTTAGAAAACTGAGTAGCAATCATTTGAGTAAAATCACAATATATTTTAAGTAATTCAGAATGATTTTTCATTAAAAAAATCCATGTGAATCGCGAAAAATCATCATCAAAAACAACAAAATATCGTGATCCTCCCATAGTAGATATGGTCGAAGGTCCCCGAGCATCAGAATGAATCAGATGAAATGGAACAGAAGCAAAAAACTCACTTTTATTAAATGGTAAGGTAGGTTGTTTTCCCAATTGATATGAAATACAATCAAAAGACTCAAATTTAACCTGACCTAACAAATCCGTCGATGCAAGGGTTTTGACACGAGCTAATGACGCATGCCCCAAACGAGAATGCCATGACTTAAGAGTAGGAGAGGTGGATTGTGTAGAGGCAGCAGAAATAGTAGTAGTAGGCAGATATAATGAAGAAAGTTCAAATAAGCTTGTCCGAATGATTTGTCCTGTCCGAGGATCCTGTATAACCCAACCATTAGAAGAAAAGGTTATGGTCAAGCCCAACTCAGTTAATTGTCCAACTGATAAAAGATTAAGAGAAATATTTTGAACAAGATAAACATGGGGAACAAATAACTAAGATTGAGAAATAGTTCCTATGTGACTAATGGCCATAGTGGAACCATCAGCTGTGTATATGGCAGGAGAGTGAGAAGTAGGAGTCTGGGATATGAGTAAGGTAAGATCAGGTGTCATGTGATTGCAGCAAGCAGAGTCAAAATACCAAGAACCATGTTTACCTGGTGTAATAGAAAGAGCAGTGGAAGATACACCTGGATATCGAGATAAAACCTAGTTGAGAACTGCCTCAAGGTCAGTTGCAAAGAAAACAGATGAGGTAGATGTAGAGTCGCTAGAAGAGTTGTTGACTGGTGTTAAAGATGATGGTGATAGATATTCGGTGTTAGCCACAATTGTAGTGGAGAGTCGAGCATGAGTACGACAACAGTCAATGTTATGCCCTGGAAGTTGATAGAAAATACAGTAAAGACTTGAACGGTCCTTTTTGTTAGTGGATTGCTGAGAGCCAGATCGATTATTTTATTGTGGCCAGAGGAGTTGGACTGATTGGAATTAGTGCGTCCATTTTGTCGTAAAAATGAGGCAGGACGAGCTGGTGCTAACTGAGATGGCATTGTCTGAGGAGCAGAAGATGGTGTGGCTAAAACAGTGATAGGATTCTGAGAACGACGAGTCTGCAAGCGTGTCTTTTCTCGAACAAGTTCATTGAGAGCTTAATCAAGTGATGGAAGAGGTGATCGATGGAGAAGCTGACTACGTACTGGTTCAAAATCATCATGAAGACTCATCAGAAACTGATAAAGTCGAATCTGGTTGCGATACGTGAGAAATTTCTTTGCTTCAGAAGAATATTCCCATATTGGTTTGGAAAGAGCTATTTGATCCCATATACATTGCATCTGAGAGAAGAATTCATTAATTCGCTGACCTAATTCTTATGTAAGAGTAGAAAGTTGAACCATTAATTGAAATAGGCGAGCCCCATCAGAACCAGAGTAGAGAGAGATAAACATGTCCTAGATCTCCTTGGCTGTCTCGTAACTCCCAAATTCCATACCAATGGAAGAAGTGGATGTGTTGCGAAACCATGTGACGATCTTATGATTGTTACTATCCCAGTCTTCAATATGTGTGGCATAGGCATCTTGTGATACCCCCGGATTTCCGGATGCGGGTTGGCTAGGCCCACAGCCGAATACTCGAGGATATCAAAACAAAAGGCAATAATCGAACACATAATATAAAAGGATAAATGAGAATAAATAAAAAAAATGCTGAAACGAAACTAGAATGATAATCCCATAATCCAACCATTAGAATAAATTTTCATTAATAAATAAATTCTTCTGAGACAATTAATCCTCCAAGTAATAAGACAACTCGGGAATCCATCCTATGTGAACCCCTAGAAAAAACCCAACTGAACAAACTGATTCAAAAGTAAAACCAAAACTTAAATATATCTAATAGTCTTACGTAGTCGGAAGAGTGAGTGGCTGTCTTTGCTTAGCACGAACAAGCTCTAAGACTGGAACCGTCCAATACCTGAAAAAATAATAGTGGGTCAGGCCCACGAACAAGTTATACTCTTCTACAATCCAAACAGAGACTCGATACGTAGATACATCCTAGACAATCCCAACAATAGCTATATAGTCCATAACCATAATTATATATATATTCATACTACAGGACTCTCACTAAACTACAGGCCGGTCTCAACCTGTCTAGTAGGCAACATGCAAAACGCACCTGAAGTAGGCATGAGTACCTAGACCTAGCAGGGTAAACCTCAAACCAGTATAGCTAGCTATGCATCCCAATGCATATACGCTCCCTAACTGTCGATCTTGAGACTCAAGCTTATATCGAGGTACCATAACTATATATATAAAATCCATTCCGAAACCAGAGTAGTGCCGTTCAATTATTTGTCGCCTTGACACGATATAAGTATAAGTAGCAAATAATCCAGTTAGTCATTCAACTTGTTCAGTTGATCTGACTTAAATATAAGTAGGATTTAATTTTATAATCCATTCCCTTATTCCAGAATAGGTAGGACTTAGTGTTTTGAACTAATTCGTCCTTAGTATGCCACCGTCCCATACCGGTGCATACAATCCAAATATCCATGTAATTGACAGAATATAATTTAATGGTTCATCAATTAAAACCCATAATAAACATAATCAAGATCTGATATGTATATAACCATGTTATGCATCCAAAACAAGATTTAAAAATCATGTCATAGTCCATTAAATTGTTAAAATAAAGTGAAGCAATTAAATCTCTTATATCCGTTAACAACATGCAATCTACAAAACAAAGCCAATAATTGATAACACATGTATAACAGTTCATCAATTAAAATCCAAAGAATGATATAATGATTATCAAAAATATAAACTGAGCACATTATACCAAAATACTCCAAAGAACCTCCATAATAATCCATTTAATTACTAGAATATCAATCAAGCAATTAAACTTTCTTTAATCCTTGACAGCATGCAGATTTGTAATAAAACTTCATGACGTCCAATCCCTTAGCATAATTGCCTAGATTAACCATTCTAGGATTTTAACATTTTTATTTAAATCATTTAAAACCACCCTTTAAAATCCAGAATCATGTTTTAGCCCCTGGAGTTCCAAAAATTACCCAAAACACACCCGTAGGTGTTTTCCAGCAAGGGAGCTGGCTCCATTAACATGTAGAGCCGGCTCCATTACAAAGGAGCTGCCTCTTTCTAGTGTGGAGCCGGCTTTACTTCAATGGAGCCGCCTCCATTGAAGGGGGAGCCGCCTCCATTGAAGGGGGAGCCGCCTCCACTCCTCCCAGCCTCCATCTTCTTCGTCTCCAGTTACTTTCTGACTTTCCGATTGCCCTTGTTAAGGTTCCTAACCCTCTGTTCTAAGTTCCAGACAGTTCTAACTAATTATAGGAAGTATTGATGCATCACATACATGAATCAAAACAAGTTTACCTTCAAGGAAAATCAAGAATTAAATCAAAAGCATATATTAATTATCCAATAGTTTTAATTCGGATAAATACCATTCAACTCCATTCAAATGAAGCATGATTAAAAGATCAATTTTAATGTCCGTTAATATCCTGGAGACTACCTAGGCATG